CCAAACTTCAACCCTACACCAGAAGCGGGAGACGAATCAGTTTATCCCGAGGACACATCACTTCCCCGCTACACACAGAGTGGCCTCCAGATACTTGGCCTGGTCACCGCGGTCCACGGCGCTGTGCTTCCTAAGGAGCCTGCGACAGTTCAGCAGGCTCTGGGGGGGGAGCATAAGGAAAAATGGCGCGAAGCCATGGACAAGGAGCTAAAAGCACTGGAGGAACGCAACACCTGGAAGGTTGTTCCTATCGGCGTAGCACGGAACAAGACGATTCTCACCGGAAAGTGGGTCTTCCGCGTGAAGACAAGGGCTGACGGCACCATCGACAAGTTCAAAGCACGCTGGGTTGTACGCGGCTTCGACCAGGAACATGGACGCGATTTCACCGAGACATTCGCTCCAGTCAGCCGACACACCTCGCTGCGAATTCTCGTCGCGATCGCCGCCATGAAGAAAAGGACGCTGCGGCAAATTGACGTCGCCAACACATTCCTCTACACACCCGTCGATGCAGAAATCTTCGTCGAGCTACCGCACGGCTCCAACGGAGAGCCTAATCAAGTCTGTGAGCTGCTGAAGTCGCTCTATGGCATCAAACAAGCCCCGAGGCTGTGGCAGGAGTACCTGCACGCAAGACTCATTCGGATCGGATTCCGCCAACTACCTCACGACCAAGGCATGTACCGGCTCACAAAGGGCACCGACTACATCTTGCTAATCGTTTACGTAGATGATTTGCTCTACATCGGCTCAACCGACAGCGTCACTACCTGGTTCGAAGGGGAGCTGCAGCAAGACCTTACACTCACAGTCTCATCTACCGTCACGCAATATCTCGGGCTCAACATACGGGAAGAGGAGGATGCGATCTACCTCAGCGCCGGGAAATACGCCGATACCATCGCCAAGCGCTTCGCACTCACACCGACCGTCATCTCCACGCCATACCGCTACACGGCAGGAAACCACAAGGAAAGCTCCGCTCTACTCAACCCCGCCGGCATACGCGACTACCAGAGGAAACTGGGATGCCTCCTCTTCGCAGCTGTCACCTGCCGCCCGGACCTATCGTACTATGTAAGCCAGCTCGCCACCTACCTCAAGAAACCCGAAGCGGAACATCTGGCGGAGCTCGACCGCGCTCTTCACTACCTCGTTAGCACCCCGACAATCGGCCTGACCTACCATAAGAACACAACTATAACGCCTAAGCTAATCGGGTACGTCGACGCCGATCACGCCGGCGACTCCGACAACAGGCGCTCCCGCACCGGCTACATCTACCGCTTCGAGCCTATCGGTCCTATCTCCTGGCAGTCAAGCAAACAGGAATTAATCGCCCTCTCTTCAGCTGAAGCAGAATATATCGCACTCTGCTCAGCCACCAAGGAAGGACTGTACCTTCGCGAACTACACAATACGGTGGTATATCCCTCATTTATTCTGCGCTGTGGCGATCACTTTGCACACCTCATTCCTACCTCCGTTGGCTCAGCTCAGCTCAGTAGCCCGGCACGGTGGCAGCAGTAGTGTAAGTGTCATACGCGTTCACGGAAGGTTCGGGGGATTTGGTGGGATTCACTGCATCGTTGGTGAAAGTGCCTGGAGTGAAGACCACAGGAACTGCAGCGTCAGTGGCGGCAGGTCCTTCGCCAGTGTTGTTACCGGTACTAGGATCGATAGAGGCATTAGAAACCCCTGAAATGGCGGTGCCGGTACCAGGATCTGTAACGCCAAGGGTGGATTCCAGCATGGCCCGGGCAGACTCTGAAACGGAGTTGGCGGATTCCAGAATGTTGCCGGAAGGTGCTGTGGTGCCGGTGGTGCCGGTGGCAGGTGGTGAGGTTTCTGCAGCACAGGCAGGGCGAGAGAGAGGGAGAGAGGGCAGGTGAGCTCGTGGGTCCATCCAGTCAGGGTAGCGTTCAGTGAGGGTGAGGGTGAGAGTGAGAGATAGAGATAGAGATAGAGATAGAGATAGATATATATATATATATATACAGAGAGAGAGAGAGAGAGAGAGAGAGAGAGAGAGAGAGAGAGAGAGAGAGAGAGAGAGAGAGGAGAGAGTGCGATAGAGAGGAAGAGGAGTTTGCGGTGAGCGGAATGGAGGAGGGGCAAGGCAAGAGGGGACGCACCAGTGAGGCAGAGGGCGGACGTCACTACACCGGGAACATACTTGACACTGCACACAGGGGGAGGGAGGGCGCCACGAGTGCGCGGGTCGTTGGTCAGGTGGGGGAGCAACCGAGCGGCGTTAAGAGCAAGGCGAGCATGGGAGCAAGGCGAGCATGGGAGCAAGGCGAGCATGGGAGCAAGGCGAGCATGGGAGCAAGGCGAGCATGGGAGCAAGGCGAGCATGGGAGCAAGGCGAGCATGGGAGCAAGGCGAGCATGGGAGCAAGGCGAGCATGGGAGCAAGGCGAGCATGGGAGCAAGGCGAGCATGGGAGCAAGTGGAAGCAAGGCGAGCACGAATAGAAGGCGTGCCGCGCACCTCTGTGCGCCCATGATGGGGAGAAGGTCCAGCGTCTGGTGGGGAACAACCGAACGGCGTTCAAAGCATGGAAGCAATGCGAGCAGGGATAAAAGGCGCACCTCTGTGTGCCGATGATGGGGAGAAGGTCCAGCGTCTGGCCTGTGCACGCGGGATCCTGGAAGAACCGGATTGCGCGGCACGTAGCAGCGTTGCCAGCATCGCTTCCCTGCTGTCGAGAGACTTCCACGCGAGCCTTGACTGCACCCGGCATGGCGGGGATGTTGACACAGCGGCGCGACTCGAAGCTAAAAGGACGGCCGTTGATAGTCATCTGCGTGGCAATCCTCGCTGGGGCCGATGGGATTTCCGCTGCGAGCGACGGCTGCGGGAGACACGCTGCAAGAGAGGGAGGGACACGTGGCATGGGAGGGTCACGGAGGCATGGGCGTGTTCATTGGAAATGCATTGCGTGCGCATGAGAGCACTGTGGTGTGGTCCGTGGCGCATGAGAGCATGGAACTGAACGCATTGCGGCGTGGACTCGATGATGCGCATGGGAGCACGCACGCACGACGACGGCGAGAGAGAGCGGAGCGAATGACGGAGCGTACCGGCGATGACGGCGACGATGGCGAGCAGCGCACGCACGGCCTTGCCATTCCCCATGCTGCCGCTTCTCCGGTGGACGGATGGTGCTCAAGCTTCACCCTTGAACGACACGAGTAATTCCAATAGCTCGAGTAGTAGCAGATGTGCAGCGGAGCAACTCCGACGGGAAGAGGTGCTAGATGAATGATTGGTGCTACTAGTGATTGGTAAAGCGGAAGAGGTGACGAGGCCGATCGGGCACGGGTGCTTAAATGGGCATCGCAGCGAGCCTACTAGCGTGCGGCGCATCATCCGCTCCACGGAGCTTCTGCGCGACGAGGGGCCTCTGTGATGGGAAGCAGCTCCCGACGGGCGCGGCAAGGCCTTGGCCATGTGCGACCGCTGCGACAGGAGTCGCTGCAGGGAACGCGTTTCTTTAGTCGCCAGCGCGCCTTGGAATAAGCGTTTCCTGAGGTGTGTGCGAAGGTGACAACGCTGGCGAAAACAGAAATGGAAATGGATTTATTGGACATAATTATTGAAGTCGAAAATGTTAGGTCTCTCCGCAACACTTAGGATCCACATTCAATGTCAGCACAATGTTTGCTAAAAAATGGGGGAGTGGAACGAGGGTCGTGCTCGGCAAAATTATTGTGGACACCAGGACGGAAGGGCCCATTCCCGCTGACTTCGGATCTTGTAAAGACCCCATTCACAACAATAATTCCGATGTGATGCCAGACAAGCGTTCTGTTCTGAGGGCGCGGGACACACAAACACAAGTGACGCGACGCGAGGCAATCGAATGTCTCCGATATGGACAGTCTCTATCGCAAGAATCTGACAACAACAATTGCTGGTGATTCCCTTGCATGCAGCCACTAATGGTGACTTCGCCAAAATATCGCCAAGATCGCTTATTGGTTCAAATACAAACAAGGTTAGAATGTTGTGTAATGATATAATCTGGTATAGCTACGAACAGCAAATTGAAAATGGCTGATCACGCTCCTAAGTGATGGTGCTGACAGTAGTGAAAACTAGAGTGAATTGATGGAAGCCACCAGAAACAAAGGTCAAAAGCAGGGTCATCTCTATGATTTGAAACCACATGTGTAGAATTGCAACAAGATCCAGAAACAAATATTTAGATGGGTAAAACAAAGATTACAACAAACCTAGAAAGAGAAAACAAGGGGAGAAGTGGGGGTGCGAACAGGAGAAATCTAACCAGCCCGGACAGGGAGGGTCTGATAACACGCAGTGCTGCTATGATACCAGATTGGTTGCTTCTATTCTTCTTGAGAACTTGCCAGCTATCCTGCCTGGCACCTGCTCAACGACCTTCCCGAGAACAGTTCACCAACTAACTCTCCAACCTGTCTGAGAAGCACAGCAACAGCAACCAATCCCTGTCCCTACGCAATACGTCCCTCAACTCTTCTCAGATGTGGCGACTGATTTGGCTTGGCGCAAGTAGAGGAATAGGATGGTACGGAGTTGCCACCGCTGGAAGGTTCTGGAGTTTAGTTGGGAGATTCTGACGTGTAGATAGGAGAATCTGACGCGTTGCTGGAAGAGTCTGAAACGTAGCTAGGAGGAATTTCTGACACGTAGTTGGAAGGTCCTGAAACGTTGCTGGAAGAATCTGAAATGTCGCTTGAAGATTCTGCAATGTTGCTGGAAGATTCTGAAGCGTCGCTTGAAGGTGTTGTGGTGGACGAAGCTGTGGTGGTGCCGGACGGGGTTGAGGTGGTGCCGGACGGGGTTGTGGAGGTGCCGGACGGGGTTGTGGTGGTGCCGGACGGGGTTGTGGTGGTGCCGGACGGGGTTGTGGTGGTGCCGGACGGGGTTGTGGTGGTGCCGGACGGGGTTGTGGTGGTGCCAGGTTTTGCTGCTGGCACACAGGTGGCACCGACTGCATTGTAGCCCGCCTTACACTTGCACTCCATTCCAGTGCCACTGGTGCGTTTGGCACACTCGGAGTTGGCAGGGCAGCCTGCAGTGAGGCACGAGGGTTCTGCAGCAGAGGCAAGGAGAGAGAGAGGGAGGCCAGGTGAGCACATGGGTCCATCCGGACAAGGAAGCATTCAGAGAGAGCAGAGCAGGCGAGGGAGGGCGGAGGAGGAGAGAGTTGCGGCAACGAGACCATGCTGAGCGGAGCGAAACCATACGAAGCTCACTGGGAGGCTGGCATTTGTTGTTGACCGCGCTGTAGCCTTTCTTGCACGCGCACGTCACTGCCGTGCGGTCGTCCGTGGGTGGGGTGCATGTGTCAGAGCCGGCAGGGCAGCGCGCATACCGACACATGTTGTCTGCCGCACAGCGCCGTGCGGACCGGGGGAAAGGGGGAACGGGGAAGGGGGGAAAGGGGGAAGGCGAATGCAGAGATGAGGCGCGGCAGCCTGCCACCCACTCGCGTCGTGCGCTCTGCAGCGCAGCGAACTGGACTGTGCAGTGAGAGCGCGAGGCCAGCGAGAGAGAGAGAGAGGGCGGCTTCTCGCGAGAGGCGGGCGCGAGAGAGGGCAAGAGGGGACGCACGCACCTACGAGGCAGAGGGCGGACCTTGCTGCACCGGAGATGCGCTTCTCACTGCACACAGGGGGAGGGAGGGCGCCACGAGTGCAACGATCGTTGATCAGGTGGGGGAGCAAACGAGCGGCATCAAGAGCATAGGAGCATGGAAGCAAGGCGAGCAAGAATGGAAGGCGCACCTCTGTTGGCCATTCACGAAAACGTCCAACGTCTGTCCTTTGCACGCGGGATCCTGGAAGAACCAGATCGCGCGGCACATAGCCTTGCCAGACATGCTCGCCTGCTGCCACGGCACCACCACCCGCGCCTTCTGAGACGGCGACATGGCGGGAAGGTTGACACAGCGGCGCGGCGAGAATTTGAATGTGCGCCCGTTGATTGTCATCGGCGTGCCTATCGGCACTGGGACCGACACGCTCGCTGCTGCTGCTGCTTGCGACGGCTGGGGGAGACACGCTGCAAGGGAGCGGCATGTGGCATGGGAGGGGCACGGACGAAGGAGCGAGTTCGTTGGGCATCCATCGCGTGTGCGCGCTGTCGAGTGGTGCATTGAACGCATGACGGCGTGAGCACGATGGCGCATGAGAGCGCGGGGCGAGAGAGCGGAGCGAATGACGGAGCGTACCGGCGATGACGGCGACGATGGCGAGCAGCGCACGCACGGCCTTGCCATTCCCCATGCTGCTGATTCCGGCGGACGCCATTCGCTCTTCGACCTTGATCGCCACGAGCAATCCGAGAGCAGGAGTGGAGCAGGAGTGTGCAGCGGAGCAACCCGAGAGAAAGAGGTGACGAGAACGATCGGAGTAGAGCAGGAGTGTGCAGCGGAGCAACCCGAGAGAAAGAGGTGCTAGAGGAGTGATTGGTGCTAACTGGTGTAAAGCAGAAGAGGTGACGAGAACGATCGGGCACGGATGCTTAAATGCTCATCGCAGCGAGCCTACTAGCGTGCGGCGCATCATCCGCTCCACGGAGCTCCTGTGCGAGGCTGGAGGGACCTCTGTGGCGGGACGCAGCCCGCGACGGGCGCGGCAAAGCCTTGGCCATGTGCGACCGCTGCGACAGGAGCTGCTGCAGGGAACGCGTTGCTTTAGGCGCCATCGTGGGCTTCGATTGGGCGTTTCCTGGCTGTGTGCGAAAGCAAAAACGACTGGGATGAAGAATCGCGTCACAAGGATTTATTGGAGGAAAAGTCAGACACCTCACAGTAAGGGCCCATTCATTGTCATGTCACTATCTAAGGTCCGGATGATGGCGACATCGCCAAAATTCTGCCAGTCCTCTCACGAGCATTTGCGAAACCCGTAACCATACTGACGTCCGGACCCTGGCTCGGTTCGGATGGGATGGTCTGGGGGTGTTCCCACCCCTCGGACCCAAGTTCACCCCGCACAAATGGGAGTGTTGTGAGGAGGAACGCGTTGGAGTGGCTTGGTTCGTGGAGAAGTGAAGAGGAATGGAATGTTGGCAAAGAAAAGTTTAGCCCATGAACGGTGTTGTACGCGGTGGAATCAGATGTGTAAAACTGAAAAAACGCCTTACATATGGGCTCAATACATCATTACAAGCACTCCATAAAACACACCGGATTCTGAAGGATCACACCACGGCGAGGATTGTAACAGCTCTATCGGGTCCATCACACACCACGAAAGCCTTGCCTGCAATGCTCTCCGCCTTTTCCGCCATCTGGCGGCCATGGATTCTGACGAGCTTGAACAAGTCAACGTCCTCGCTACAATGCACGCCGAGTTCTGATCTTCTTAACAGTATCGTCTTTAACATTCGAAATGGAAGTCTGGTAATTTATGCTGACCTCGGTCTCTCCAGTTATCAGGCAACAAGCATCAGGCTCAGCCATGCATTCCCAAGGCCGTGTTACCTTCAAGTTCATTACCATGTTAATTTCAGCGTATCGTCAACTTCCATTGTCGGTGTATCTCCTGACCATTATTAAAGCCCGTAGCTAAAATGGTGACCCCCTCGTTCTAGTTGGGTCCAACTTGATTACTCAAGTTTTTTTGCATTGTTTTGGAAAGTTATAAGTTACGGTATGTGTTTTTCGTTTTTCAGCCATCAGACGAGTTCCGAAGTGAACCACTGTTACGAGTGCAATTAAGTGATCGAACGAGAATTGCACTATCGAAGCAAGAGTACAATGAGCGAAGGCATGAGCGAAGAATATATAGCGAATCTACAGTGGTAACGGTAATGAACTGTGGTTGACGCGCGACGGGCCTGGAACTGAGGTTGGGAAAATGTCGAGGCGGAGGCCCGGAGCGCGGGTTACCGGCCGAGCCGTAAGGTCGGGGTGCGACGTGCGAAGGTGGCAGGAGGATTGTCGATGCGAGGGTTGCGGGTGGTAACGGTGCTGACTGTGGTACTACAGTGGTGTACGCGCTGAGCAGGGACGCGAAGTAAGGAAAAGGAATTTTCCTTACACTACCCCCCCCCCCTTAAGGAGGCCCTCTTTTATGAAAGTGCGTGTACATCCCGAAAATTTCGGCTGCGCAGATACTCGGTGAGGACGGGGTGGTTGTCGATTTTGTCCAGGGGAACCCAGTTGTCTTCGGTGGGTGTACGGTCTCTCTAGCGGATCAGGAATTCGATCCTTTGAGCTCCTCGTGGGTCACAAACTCGGTGGCTCAAAATCTCTTCGGGTGTGATGATTGGCTCGGTCGGCGGTCGTGTCATGCTGGCTGGGCGGTTGCGGGGCAGTTGGCTGGTGGATGGTACGTAGGGGCGGAGCAGGCTGACGTGGAAGGACGGGCTGACGTACCAGTCAGCAGGGAGGAGGAGATGGGCGGTGACGGATGTAATCATGTGGCTGATGCGGAATGGCCCACAATATCGAGGGCGGAGTTTTGGAGTAATGGGTAGGCGGAGGTTATGGGTGTCGAGTAAGACTAGGTCGTCGGGCGGTAAGTGACAGGTCGGCGGTGGCGGTCGGCGTTGCGTTTAGCGATGATGTTCGATTTTTTAATTGCGTCCACCGCTCGGGTCCGTGCTGCTTGTAATATTTCGTCGAACTGTTGTGCTCGTGGCACTGGGTTGTTGGGATTCGGGGTCATGGGTACTGTTGGGTCTTGTCCGTAATTCATGTAAAATGGTGACTGTTGGGTCGTGGCGGAAGGCGAGTTGTTGTACGCGAACTCGATGAGTGGCAGCTGTTGTTCCTAGGTGGTTGGGTCGTCGCATGTGGCTCGGATGAGTTGCTCCCATGGTCTGATTTGTTCTTTCTGTCTGTCCGTCGGTTTTGGGGTGGTACGAAGAACTGAACTGTAGTCGCGTGCCGAACTGCTGCCACAGGTTCCGCCAGAAGTTGCTGGTGAATTTCGTGTCTCCGTCGCTGATGATCGCTGCTGGTATCCCGTGCAGTCGAACGACGGTGGTGATGAATAGGCGAGCTGTTTCTTCGGCTGTGATTGATTTCTTGCAGGCTGCGAAGTGTGCCATTTTCGTTAGTCGATCGACGACGACCAGGATCGCGTCGTTCCCACTCGCTCCGGCCAGTAACCCCGTGACGAAGTCCATCGTCACCTACTGCCAAGCATGCTCTGGGGGTGGTATCGGCTGCAACTGTCCTGCCGGCCGCTTCCGTGATGACTTCATGATCTGTCAAGTGGGACATGATGCCACGTGTCGTTGAACGTCGGTCAACATTTCGGGCCAGTAAGAATACCCCTGCAGCTGCTGCCGTGTTTTTTCTACCCCGAAATGCCCCGAGGTAACTCCGTCGTATGCTTCCTGTAATAGTAATTCCCGTAGCAGTGTATACCCTGGTACCCAGATGCGGTCGGTCCCGGCTTTTACGTAATAGACTCCCTTTGCTGCTACAAACTGCTGCGAATTTCCTCCTGTGATGAATGGATCCGTTTGGTACCCGTGGGTAAGTAGGCCTGTCAGTAGTGGGCTGGTCTGGGCAAGTAGTATTGCGTGGAGCTGGGCAGTGGGGCGGGTCAGTGCGTCGGCGATGTTCAATGCCCCTTTTTTGTAGGTAACTGTATAGTGGAAGTTTGACTCGAGGAAATCGACCCAGCGAATCTGTCGTGGGTTGAGGTGTGGCTGTGCGCGGAGGTACTGTAGTGATTTATGGTCTGTCCGTACTGTCACGTCTGTGCCGGTCAAGTAACAGCGCCACACTTTGAATGCGTGCACGATCGCAAGCATTTCGCGGTCGTGTATCGGGTAATTTTTCTAGGGCGGATGCACTTTTCGTGACTCGTATGCGATGGGCTGTAGGCCGTTGCCGAAATCCTGTAGCAGTACTGCTCCGATGGCGATGTCGCTTGCGTCTGTAACTACTTCGAATGGGCGGTGTGGGTCGGCGATGCGTAGCACGGGCGGTGAACAGAGAATATTTTTCAGGGCAGAGAAGGCAGCATGCTCTTTCTCCCCCCACGTAAAAGCGACCCCCTTCCGTAGCAAGTCTGTCAGCGGCACAGTTAACCGTGCCATGTCGGGGACGAACCGACGCACGTAATTGACGAACCCTAAAAAACTTTGCAGTTCCTTGATATTCGTCGGGGGGTGCCAAGCTTTTACCGTGTCCAACTTCTTCGGGTCAATTTCGACCCCAGCCTCCGAAATGACGTTCCCCCAAAACTCTAGCCTGTCCTGAAAAAACTCGCACTTGGAACCCTTGGTCAGTAGCCGATGCTCGTCTAAAATTTTAAATACCGCTTCCAGATCGGCTAAGTGCTGCTGCTTGTCACGACTGTAGACGAGGATGTCGTCGAGGTAAACTATCACGCAGTTATCTAAAAGCGGCCTAAACGCTTCGTTCATGGTCATCTGAAAAGTCGCCGGTGCGTTGGTCAGCCCGAAGGGCATTACGGTGTACTCGAATGACCCGTATCTAGTCCGAAAAGCTGTTTTGGTGCAGTCCGATGGTTCGACTCTAATATGATGGTAACCGTAATCCCCTCGTAAATCAATTTTTGAAAAAACCCGTGCTGTTCGCAGTTGGTCTATCAGTTCGTCGGCGCGGGGAATGGGATACCGCGACTTGACTGTTACCCTGTTGAGCGCTCTGTAATCGATGCACATGCGAAGCCCTCCGTCTTTTTTCGGCGTGAACAGTATCGGTGCGGCGAACGGTGACGAACTCGGTCCGATGAATTTCTTCTCTAACAGGTAATCTAACTGCTTCCTCAATTCGTCGAGCTCGGGCCGTGTCAGTCTGAACTAGCGCTGTAAGGTTGGTTGTGCCCCTGGTTCTAATTCTATTCGGTGGTCATGTGCTCGCTGAGGTGGCAGTCCCTCCGGTAAATCGTCAGGAGAAATCCACGGGTATCGTTTCAACAGTTCCTGTAGTTTGGGCGGTACCGTTGCCAGCAGTTTCTTGAATTCACTTGGTTGCTCTGCTTCTTCTACCACTGCAATGTCTACTGCGTAACGTCAGCTCCAGCGGCGACAACCCGTTTCATGGTGACGGCGTTGACGTGTACCGTTGAAGACTCAGGCGACTGCCAGCGAGGTAGTTCGACCCAGTTACCGCTACTTCGCACAGTGCAGCCACCCGTCGTCCAGTCAATTCGCGGGTTATACCGTCGCAACCAATCACGTCCCAGTAAAATGTCGTGCCCATCCAGTGTCGTCGCGAGCATTTCCTGTGTAAACCCAAAATTCCCCCCGCAACGGACTTTGACTCTCTCCACCTTTTCCCGTATGGCCAGTGGCATGCCATCAACTAAGTGTGCAT